AGAGAGGTAGAGAGAGAGAGAGAGAGAGAGAGAGAGAGAGAGAGAGAGAGAGAGAATGAGATTGTTGCACAAAATTTTGACTCGATTCTGATGGTGACTTTCATGCGTTGCTATCGCTTTTAATTAAACATTGCCGTTTTTGCGAGACATGCACTTAATACAAACGCACGCACACACATAAAGGTGTTCCGTTTTGGCTGTAAGCTGAACAACATGAACATTTCAGCAGTCAGGCAAGGCTGGCTGCCTTGCTTTGCCTGCAGCAGTGCGAGCGAGACAACGAGCGTATGGCAGTATAAGAACGACAGCATCAAGGCGAAAGATAGAGAGAGGTGGGGCAGCGTGTGTGTGTGTGTGCGTGTGCTTGTGAAGAGCCCCGGCAAGTGCTAGGCAGGCACAATTCGGGACTAGCAGAGCGATGCTGTGAGTGGGTGTTAAGCTTTGGCTGCCAGCTGCTGCTGGCCTTGCCCGTCACAATTTGAAGTCGAGTTGACGACGAGCATGTCCCTCTGCCTGTCTGCCTGAGTGTGTGTGTGTGCGTCTGTGTGTGATTGTGATTGCGAGGGCTGGGTGGGCGTTGGGGTGTGTGCGTGAGCGAGCGTGTGAATAAGTCATAAAAAGCCAGTAAAAATCTCCGTTTGTCATTACATATTGTCATCATCAGCAGCAGCAGCAGCAGCAGCAGCAGCAGCAGCGGCAGCAGCAGCGGCAGCAGCAGCAGCAGCGGCAGCAACAACAACAATGCCCATACACGCACACACCCTTACACACACATATGCGCGCTTTCGCATCACTTGAGCTGCTGCACCAAAAAAGTAGGCAACACTTTTTGTTGCTTCACTTGGCAGCTGCACTGCCTGCCAGCCAGATAGTGCACATATTGGGCGACAGAGGGCGCCAGTGGCGTGACAAACGACAGCAGCTACAGCAACAGCAGTTACGTTTATAGCTGTATTGCGCGCTATGTTTTGCTCCTCTTCTCTTTGCTCGCAGTCAGTCAGTCAGTCAGCATGCAAATGCGCTTAGCACTTGTTGTTGTTGTTATTGTTTGCTACTTAAATGCAAATTGAATTCCGATTGCAAAATGCAGCATTTGTCCACTTTTTTCCCCTTTGCTCTTCGCCCCTTCGCTCTTCGCCCCTAGCTCCCTTTTTATTTCATTCATTTATGCTGAGCGCATTATAATTATGTGGGAAAAAAAGGAAGCTGGTGCATGGGAAAGCAGTTCGCAATCAATCGTTATTTGTGCTAACAACTGGCTGTCAAAGTGCTTGTTAAAGCTAGTTGTGTTATTGTTTAGCATGTTTTACATCATTTTTTGTACTATAACTAAACTAAACTAAACTATAAATTTGTTTATTTTCTTTATCTTTTGTTTTGTTTTTACTACAATTTAAACGAATAATCCGAAATGCAATTATATTTTTTGTTGTCGCAATTTAGCATTGCATCAGACCTGAAGAGAGACTTTCTAGTACAGACCGTATGAGTCATAGATTTTTGTAAACTTTGGCGTGGATATTTTTTATTAGGTTTCAGCTCTAAATTCTCCGAAGCTATCGTTTTCTTTTTAGATTTTTCATTCCTCTAATGGGCTAAAATTATAACAGCAGACGATGGATGTAGAAAAATATACATATGTATGTATGTATGTATATGTATATTCCACATTTCTACTCTCAAGAAACTGCCAAAATACAAGATATACATTTCGTATCATGAACAAATATCATGATATATTTGGAGCGCTAAGCTCTCATCTAGCTTACTATTAAAAACATAGATTAAATGTCTATATTAAAGCTTAAAGATAAAGTAAAACAAAAATAAATAATATATTGAGTTGATAGCTATCGATTTACAGACACAAAAAGCATATCGATTTAGTAATTGAAGCAGAGCAACTTTTACGCCTCAGTTCACATATTTTGTACTTGAAAATCGATACGATATTTCTTTATTCTGACAATCTGGAAATCCTAGCTATTACTTTAAATTATATGTCAAATTGAATACTCATCCATTCATCGATCGACATTGCTCATTTTATGTATACCCGGAGCCCATTGAAAACGGGAAATCTGTGTAAGCAACAGGAAGAAGGAGGCGCTGACATCTCAGAAGACATATGAGATCATTTCTTTTTTTATCGAGCATAATCGATTGATTTTGTTTTCTAACCGTTACTTTAATACTATTAGACCCAGAAGCTTCAGATATACTGAATGTACTATACAAAGATTTTTGGATACCACAACTCCTTGGGGCACTTCGTGCGTATGATAGTATGTATGTATGTATTTTTTTATACATACATATGTATGTACATATGTATATAAAAGAAGAGCAGAATGATTCGAATATCTACACTTTGCAGGGTCCAGGGTATCTTCTAGTCTCGACATGAGCACATTTACTTGTTCAAGCTGCGAATGCACTTTGAGGTATTCGCATTATTTTCGAGGCAAATTATTTGCAGCTGTGCGACAAAAGAATGCATCAAATGGTTCGAGTGTTGCTAGAAGGAGTGCATGTGTGTGTGTGTTAGCCTTTGTAGGTGTCAAAGTGTAAATTACGCTTGAGGCGCCCTTTGACACAACGCGCACTTTTCACTGCCAGCCCCGCCCACATTTCTGCAACGCCAAGTTGTCAAAACTTTGCAACTATTGCCATGAAATACGAAAAGTTT